ATGTGCATGGTGCTGCGTCTGGTCTTGTGTCTGGTCTTGTGCCAGGTCGTGTCTGGTCTTGTGCATGGCCTTGTATCTGGTCTTGTGTCTGGTCTTGTGCTGGTCTGAAGGAGTCTGGACTACAATGTTCATCAGAGCTATATTCTCATCCTCTACCTACCTGAGTGTCTTCCTCATCAAGTCGTCATCGGTGATTCCATAATAGGTCAGCGTCTCATTGAATTTGGGATCCAAGGTCTTGTGGACCGTCTTGGTGCGCAATTTCGTGGACTACTCCCCCCAAAAAGAATTAATTCCAGTAAAATGTTGGTACTAACACAATTAAAAAAATAAACTAACTCTTCATCTATACAGTTTTGCGAGTTGAATACAATGTTGGTTTGGTAAGAGACAAGTGATTTTCCCATTCTGATGTACAATTCAAAATTGGAATATAAAATACTTGTACATGTACCTTACTGTTACTTTTTCCATGAGGCAATCAACTTTAATAGTTCAATTCCAAGATTAATTTTGCATGGAATTTAGGCATTTCTTACAAAGATAAATGAATTTAAATGAGTACTTCTGGAATGGAAACTACTGATTGATCTTACTGCCACACTGTCGTGGTTCTCTGTCGTGTATCTCTGTCGTGTATCGTGATATAGACAGATATTGACAACCACCAATGTGGCTAAACTCAGTAGAACTGTTCTAAATGGTCAATGAATCCAACTAGTACCAACTTGTATGCATTCAATTAAAGCTCGTCAGACTGCAATATGGTGGATAATCAAACGTTTCAAAACATGAGTTAAAATTTGTTCCTTCTCAAAACAACAGCCAATGACATGAGCCATGTGGCTGATGAATATGGTCACGACTGGCATTACCTTAGTGGCTCCTGGCAACAGGTGGAGCTTGACGTAGGGGTCTGACATTCCATTGGAATCCATAGCCTTCAACCCGGAGGCCTTGTGAATAGTGCAATGCAGAGCGTTATTGACTCCGTCATACAGTACTGAAAACTCCAGTGTTCCCAATGAACCTTGGACAAAAACAGCAATTTGATCAATCAAAAAAGTTCTCAAAACCTTAAGGTGCTGTGCATTACACTAAAACATTAACACATAGGACGTCCGTTTAGTGCATGCAAAACCCTGCAGGACTCAGTTAAATGAACACTTTGCAATATGAACAGAAATGCTGTTACAGACGCATCCTCTCTAGAAGAGAAAAGAAATCCACAAGTGTCATTGACATGAGAACAGTTACTTCTAATTATGATGTTAACACAAGCAATGGCAACAGTGAATATGGGTGATTCACAATAGTGCGCCTCCAAGAGTTTGCAACGCGTTGGCCAATCACGATGCGTGAAATCTGTCGACCCGATGCGCATTTGGAAAGGGTTGACAGATTTCATGTGTCGTGACTGGCCGACAGGTTGCAAACTCTTGGAGGCGCACTATTGTGAAGCGCCCATATTTAAGAAGGAAGAAACACACAAGCTGTCCGTTTGCCATCAACTGCTGGAAAAAAAATGTGAAATTTGAAACTTCAAAAACAGTTGCTCACTCTGCATGCAGCATGCACCAACAAAAGAACAAAAAAATGACGTTTGCACAAAGGTGATTAAGTCCAATAATACCACACCTGCAGTAACAATTTGGGGGGGAGAATGAGCCTAGAGTTTATTCCGACTTCAAGCCAACATTAAAAGATTTGCACACTGTGTACAAATGCTGTTTGTTAACCTGATAAATAAGGCTTGGCATAACTATTTGGAGAATATGAGGCTCCAATTACAACTTGGTGTCAAATTTGATTTTTGAAATGTATGCAACGTGGGTAGGTCTTTCTCAGACTCCATCATAAACATGAAGAAAAACATGCAACATGAAATGAGAACAAAAAAGTGGCAAAAACTGTAAAAAGAAAGTTATTTGAATATAAGGAAACAATCAAACTACGAAGAATACCAGCGAGATGGTCGTTAGAAGTCTCCCAAACATGACAATACTAATGTGGTATCAACATTTTAAGACTTGTATGAAATCTCTTCAAATTACTGCCTTGGATTTAGGGCAAGTAATGAAAGAGAAAAGTCTCACAACGTTCATGTTTATTTCCACTAAAGGAGGAAGCAACACTAAAACACAATCCTTAAACTGAACTCTGAACAAAACAGATGCAAAAGATTTTAATACAGTAAGTAAATAAAAGGAACACCACAAAATAGCCACTGTTCTAGCAAATCCATACTGCAGATGCCATATCAGGCACAGATGCTGCCACAAAACTCACAAGACCTTACACTAGCAATCAGCCACACAGACTAGAACATGAAACAGATGTGCATGTAAATGCATCACTATAGACGCAAGCAAAACAATTCCATGAATGACGTAACGTCAACAACAGTATCAGCAACACTGATGCATCTTAAAAGATATGAAAAAAAAACATGAAACGAAAAACACATTACAGTGGAAAAACATTCAGAAGATTGTCCATATTAAGACTAGGGGTGTGACAGAACTTTTTAGTTTGAATATATAAGCATTCTCTCATGGTAGTGATACAGTAACAACAAGACCGGACACAAAGGTGAACGATGACAAAGGAATGTTTTTGTTGCAGTTCAATTGAATAGCACACAACTAGAATCCAGGCTGGACGTCTTGTGATAGTTTTCTGGGGTCCTCTGATGTCTTTAGGTCTCGACCACGACACAGTGGAACTGACGGATGACGTGTATGTTTGTAATGTTTAACATCCAACTGGAAATTATTGGAACTTAAATATTCTAGATGTTCAGTTTAAAAATTATATATTGTATAAATTATCCTTTATAATCTTTCACGAATAGAAATGTTTGATTGACTGCTTGAAACAAGAAACACTATAAAGTGAAACTTTTAGTGAAAATTACATCACACACCTTCAGCAAAAACACTATCTGGGTTTGTCCGGAATTATTGTTGGACCATTCTGCGGCATGTTACAACTTGACTTTGTTGCCGTATTCTAACAAAAGTGGGAATCCTGATGTGCCGGATCACTGCAGAACATGTTGTGACATGTCTGCAAGGTGGAAGCCAGATATTGGGGGGAGGGGACTGGAACAAAATAAAACAGAACTGAAAAGTTTCATAGATTGACGTCTTCGTTCTGGTTGCTTTCAAAAGATTTACAAAGCCACATCAATCAGTAACACATGCACGTGCAATAAACACCACAAACAAGACTCTGATGGTTCCACAAAATGACCACACAACTGGACACTCTTCGTACTTCCTTCATCCGGGCTGGACCCTAGCGCGTCCGGCAGGCCATAATCCTGCGAATCGAAGGAGCTGCCCACCGAGGTGGGAGGGGCTGCACTAGTCTGCAAGGCTGAGCTGAACTGGGTGAATGCACGGTCCATGTCCTCTTCCTCGTGGTCTGGTTTGAGGGCGATGACAGGGCCACTGCTGCCCCCCGAACGAACGGAGCTGGTGCGACTGAGATCTAAGGGGGTGGAGCAGAGGAGTTCAAAGGGCAACCAAAGAGGAAGAGGAGGGAAGAGTAACAAGAGAAGGGATGGGGAAAAGGAGAATAAAAGGTGAAGGAATAAAACCAAGATGAAGACAAAGATGATGACACGACATGGCCAGCAACAAAGAGAACAGAACCAAGATTAAGTTAATTCCAGAAAAAGAGAACAGGAAAGAGAAGCCAAGGGGGATTGCAAAGCTTGGATAACATTTAGGAGATTTTGATTCCATCACAACAGCCACTCACAGGTTTAAAACAAAACCAATTACTTCAAACCTAAAATCTCCTACCGATCAAGAACTGCCTCTGAAAGAACCAAACAACACTGAAAAAGTTCAAGTGAAGAATAACTTACGAAAGTATACAATGTTCATGCATTATTAGTACCCAGTACCCTGAGACGACACATTCTTATTACAGCTGAAGTACAACCCATCGGTCCTTACAAATCTACGCCAGTCCATAACAAGCAAGCCTTTCACAAGTTACCCAATCTTACATCCAGTCACATTAACTGTGAACAAAAAGGAGGCCTTCATTAGCCTGCATTCTAATGTCTGTGATGGATGATTAACATGATTAACGATTAATCATTAACATGATTAACGTGATGGATGTTAACATGTTCTTCCATCTTTTCCAGTACTACAAAAAATGCTTTCATTACAAATTTCCGTACTAGTTGTGATGAGAATTCTGTATTCACATTGCCCTCCAAGATGCGTACACATAAATGTAACAGTAACTAGCAAACAGGAGAGACAACTTTAACCTAAGACTTCATTAGTAATTTAATTCCTAATACTACTCCTGGAGGCAAGACTTTATCAGTTTGATGTCAAGATACATGTACTTGTCCTTCAGAGATCAAGTCATTTCAAAGTGCAAAATGTCTTAACCCTTTTTTGCCTCTTTGAACAGGCGTCGTGTTACTCGAAATGCACTTTGGATGCATTTCATCCCACTGTTGCTAGGCAACTCATCTTCACCATCATCACGCGAGGACGGCTTGCCAACATGAACAAGTTAATTTCACAGTCTCATGTTTAATCAAATCAGTAACCATGACGATGGCATGCAGGAATATCATAGTAGACTGAGAGGCTGTTGGGTCGTGTCAAGACAAACAAAGTTCTGATGCATCACTTTTGACCCCATGACGATAACATCCTTTTTCAACTTCTTATCTGCAAATCCTCCTTGATGGAGAAATGAGCAAATCAGCTTCCACTGATAAACGTCGCAGGATTCAGCTCCGCCTGCGAACGCCAACTCAATACTCAATGGGAAAAAAGGAACTGCCAGCAGAAATAACTCCTGATAGTCTCATCATTCAATCACAGGGAGGGAAAGACATATGACACCGTCCTACACAACCTCTGCAATGAGACATTTGTTTCTGCCAACTGATTTCAGGTCAAGTAATTGGTGATTTTCAGTAAAGTGGCACTGATAGAAACGGAGTTTGGGGGGAAAAACACCTATTTATAATTTCAACCAGACAATACCACATTTAAAGTCGCTGGTGTATAAAATGTGAAACAGATCTCTCACAAATCAATGTCTGGCAGGTGTAATGCAATTTCTTCTAGAATTGTCTGCTGCAATATTGAATGAACAGCTGTTCACAGCTGTAAGACTTGGCTTTTTTTTACCTTTGAGGGAACAAAACATGATATAACAAAGCAACTCCATGACTTTGTAACTTTGAAAATCATATTTACCATATCATACACAGAAAGCTCTGATCAAAATTACAGTATGAAAAACAAATATTTGAGAAAAATGTATTAAATTACTGATGTCACGGAAAAGAAATGCCTATTCCATGACAGACTTCAGAATCCATGCATCAGGGTGTATGTTACAGGTGATGTTCACAAACTTGGCAAATTGCCAGAATGTTTTAGCAGCAAACTGTCGGTACACACTGCCAAATACTGGACTATCGCTGAGCAAATGTTGGCAAACTGCAGAATGAATGCAAGCTTACTGGCTCACAAAAAGTCGACTAGCTTACAAAGTCACCAACAGCTGTTGGGACTTCCAAAGTCAATGATGATATTTTCCGTATAAAAATCCAAACCAAAAAAATCGATGCATTTCTCATGCAACAAAGAGCAGTTATAAGAACAAGACCAGCAGAAAATAAACTACACGTACTTTTCTCGATCCCCAATATTTGCTCCTCTTATAAGTTGCAAGCAACAAGAAATTTGAGGCACTGTATGCCTCTAAGCCATGTGATTTGAACAAAATGAAATATTTGACAGGAATTCTTAATTTCAAATAATCTTGAAAGGAAAAAGTCCTGACATCACATCTTTCCATATCCACATGGGCATTTGACAACATTGAAACTGACATATCGTTCCTTTCAAATACCAAAATACCTCATGAACTGACCAGAACTGGTAAAAGATATGTCTCACCCCATACGTGTGCGTACCATATAATACAAATATATTCGTGAATCCAACATTTCAGAATCATACTCTGTAAATACACATTATTCCACTGCTAACAATTCCATAGTTTCAGTGCTATTGCTATCAAAATCTAAAAACATGAAGCTTTACAGACTTTATGTAACTCATCAACCTTCAATATTTCATCTCAGATTACAATTTGCAGAGTGGCGATTGAGACATTTGGTTCCGTCTCACTGCTCTCCTTTCTGGAGTAAATGAACATCTCCAAGGAGCACATTCTTGTTGCATCTGAATTTGTAATTTGCACAGTTTACGACGGCTTCATACTCCCTGAAGGTTGACAGGGTCTTCAGCAGCTTTGTGGGCCTGAAGAACTGGGGACTAAAGATATAACCCCTGAAAATGCCCGTCTTGAAGAGTGTGCACTTTATGTTTCTGATTGCCCGAGTAGGAGTGAATGAGTTACTGAATAACAACCATCTTGAATCTGTTGGACATGTAAAAGTATCCCTTTGCCCAATTTGCTAACTCCCCAGCCTCAATTTATGCAAATTCTAACCAGAAATTCCAACCCTGCAGCAAACAGTGGATCAATTGAAACTGGATCCCATGTTTAAAATGCAACAATTGGCTAGCCTTTCCCAACACAGCATATGGTGTAGGAGGCTAATTGACCTTGCTAAAAGGAATTCAAGGCAATGCCTCGGCCTGACAAACAGAATGTTCACAGACTTGACTTTAAACAAGCCTGACTACACCTCACAAGCCTGCCTATGGTACATGTACATGTAATCTTGAAAATTGATGTACATCATTTATATTCCTGGCTTTCTTTCAGAACCTTGCATTTCTCCCTGAAAATGAAGTAGACTTAAAAAAGAAGAGTCAATCGCAAAATTTTTTTTCTTCAATATTTACAACCTTGTGAACATATGGTTCATGCTTTCTGGACAGAAAACTCATGCATGGGACAATGTTAAAGATAAGTAATCAAGTTACAATGCACCTGTCTTTCATTTGTACAATTTCATTCGTATCATTCGTACAAGAACACAAATCAACAAGCAAAACAAAATAAAGTTTATTTTCTGGAACACAACTACATGTGCAATCCATATAAAAAAATTCCTAAAACATTTATGCAGACTGCACAAGAAAGAGACGCCTACTTTTTAGGAGAAGGACAAAGATATATTAGACACTAGTCGACTAGTTCTACATTAGCGCTAACAGTGTGCAAAGCAATACTCATAGGGCTGTCATGGAATAGATGCAAATGTATGACTCTATCTACAGGTGTCCACATGTGAAATTAACACTACATCAGGCTTCAAGTCACCCCTTTTTTTCTAGAGGGGGATGAATAATGGAAATAATTTGAGATGTCGGACAGTGCCAAGTTTGAACTACGGTAAAGGTTGGAAATTTTTTAGCGATGTGGCATTTATGCCTTCAGGAGCAAGCATTCATTCTTGTATGACTTTGCTTCTTTTTTTTTTTTTTACAGTGAAATCTAATTAAGTGATAGCTTGATCAGCTGGCCCAAAAGCTCAATCAATCAAACACTCGATTGTTCAACTTCTTTTCTATCTCATTACTGTAGGTTTGAGTCATGTGGGTATCAGTTAGTGCTTTCCATTTTAGAATGATTTACTACCGGTAGTTGATCATTAAAAACTGCCTTTAATCAAATATTTCAAAGTAAAAGCAAACTTGCTGGCCACTTTTAACAAGTGTTAGCTGCCGGTGTGGGTCTAACGTTGCATTTACAGCAATTGTAACAATTTACATTCAGTAATTGATACATGCGGATGTCTGTTATATTTTTTACAGATAAAATTTTTGCTGGCTGGTTTTCAATTATTTTAGCAATGTACAGTGCAACTAATGATGCCCACATCTTGGAAGTATGCTGTTGACTGTCATACACAACCAAGCAAATTTCAAATGCATTTGCGCCGAGGACGTTGTTGAGAAATCGCTCACACTGTGCGCCTGCCATTTCACCATAACAAAGTATCAATTCAACCCTTTACAACTCTTCTTCGGCCAAGTTGCTTCTCTTGTCCACTCGGACCACTCAACAGAAAGTTGTTCGGGCAGATTTTTACGCGACAGCTACATGTCCGTCCCAATCCGAGCGTGAAATAACACATTGACTTCTGCCCAGTATTAGCGTATTTGCATTTAATCAAATATTCGAACTAGCAAGAAGCTTTTCACATTGTCAATTGATAATCCAATATTCGGCATATATATACATGTATTCAGGATAGCACTAACCATGATGCATGTGTTTCATTGCCAAGACACTTTACAACGATCGTGTCTCTAAACCCAGGAGTATAAACGGACTGTGCTTATTTTAAGATAATGCAGAAAAATGATCTCAAGGCCCGGTGAACTGGAATAATAGATAAACACTGGGCTTTGAATCCTTTGGCAATAAAGCCCTAAGTAAATATGGTGATTATTTAGTATCTACATGTAGATAAAAAGTTTAAAATATCGCATGAAAAATTACCTCCTCACATTAAGTGCCTTATCAAAAATTTAATCTTGTTTGAGAGCCGTAAGTTTTCAAATAATGTTAGATTGGAGATGATGAAAGCTAGTTCTCTTGAGAGGAAAGGGATGACATGATAAAACAATGCTAAGGCTATGTCCAAAATACTTGGCTACGGCTAGCAAAATACACACACGTTTAAGGGAAAACGGTCACAGCCACGAGCCAGATATTTCCACAGCAGTATGTGTTCCTCCAAGCCACAGTCAATCAATAAGGACATGGCCTCAATACCCAGTTCTAGACAGTGACTGGTGCTACATTTAAACCTGTTTCATTACTCTGACTGCTACTGCATCAAAGTCAACAGGACCAACAAGCGAAGGGTTCAGGACGGCTAAATCTTGCAAACAGAGGAACAGCCAAGAGCAAGTTCGGGCGTGAACTATGGTTTGTTCAGTTGTCAGTTGCTTTTTAACAATGCGCATGTGTAATTCTGTGACACTCGAACGACCCTAGTCGGTCAATTTTTTTAAATGTCATAGTTACTCACATTTCACCATCTCGCAGCCAACATGGTCACTGAAATCTCATAGTTATTTTCATGTGAATGGTTCTCCCCTCTGTAATGATACATGAAATTGGCTATTGATAACCAGCGGTGTGACCATACCCCGGGTCTGGTCCTAAATGGTTGACTAGATAAATGAAACCATCCATCGTTTCGGGCGGTGTTAGTCAAACTATAGCTAACTATAGTCATCGCTCGAACTTGCCCGAATCTATCAAATCTGGAGCTACTTTGACTAACCAACTAGCATCAGGTCTAGGCAGGAGAAATCTAGGGAATAAGTGCTTCCAAATCAAAGTCTTTCCTTCATTTGCTTTTTCATGGACCAAGTCAATGACATGCCATCCTACCTGATACTGAGATGTTAGTGCTCGTGAGGGAGCGAACGGAACTGGTGCGACTGTGCTCTTTGGGGCCAGAGACCAACGCCAACGTGCCGTTTTGGAAGGGGAAAATGGTGCAAGACACAATAAGAGTATGGTGCAGGTGTACATGTGATCAGGATTTTTTTAAAAAGAAAACAATTAAGATATTGAGAGTAAAAATGGTAATTGATTCCGAATGTTGTGCAATTATCTCTTATTTTCACGTTGCCATGGAAACACAATGAACCAAGTAGGCCAACTAATTCATCCTTTTGAACTTGGAAGAAATTTCTGGAAGTGTTGCATGCAACCATATGCACGTGTTGCTGTGGGAACCACATAAATTCTCTCAGTACCACTTCACATGTAATTCCAAATCAAACCATTTACTAAGACTTTTTCTGCTTTTGCTTTCATTATGGTAGAGTGCTAAATGTTAATGTTAGAATAATTGGAACTAAGTCCACCAGACCACCTCCACTCACAAATGCAAATGTATAATGAGTAAATGTATGGATCAAAAGCAAATCAGACTCTCCCCAAAATTTTTAAAAACCGGATTTCAAAATTCATTTTTGAAAAACTGTAACAGTACATGCATCCCTGATTTGTGACTGGGCAAGGAATGTCTAAGTAAAGGCCGGAATATACTCAATGTAAAAACAAAAGCCAAACATTTAAATTTAAAACACAAAAAAGTCTACCCTGAGTATGCATTGGCATCAAAATGGACCCATTTGGGGAACACTTCCCAAGGAAGGTTATTCCTTCTCTGAGACTGCCAAAAATCCCAACATCCAAAAGGAGAGATATTTAGGCAGCTGTATCTGGTTAAAGCTGATACTTTTCAGAGTAATCCCTCAGAAGATTGTGAGAAACATCATGGCGTTTGGATCAAATCCTCCTGACATAAATAGATGAGATGTTTTGAATCACAAAATATTTTTGTTGTGTAGATTATAGATTTAAATCAAGTGAACTCATACACAGAGTTAACCAAAATGAAACCATTTGCATTTGGCTGAAAATAATGTGCAGGGATTGTGAGAGGGGAATGTTAAAAATCAGTCATTGAAAATTTGTCTTAAAAGGCTAAATCATATTTTAGAAAACAAGGGTTAGGAGACATGAGTTTGGTGTATGACTGAGTGATTCTTTCAACAAGTCTACATGTAACTTACCATTGTCTGAAACAAAATGAAAATTGAAAGAAATAAAAATGAAAAAAATTGTTATGGCTCAGTAAATGTAACCTCAAAGCTCAACTTTGTTGAGTGACACAATTTTATGGCAATTAAGAAAGCAATAATATGTAATGATCATACAGTTCGATCTATAATGTGATTTGTAATGATAGCCAACTTTGTACCTAGTACCAATATAAGTGAAAATTATTACCAGTGTTGTAGTTGAGACCACTTAAGACCTTCACAAGACCACTCAAGACCTTCAGTCTGAATTCAAGTCACAAGGTAATCTAACGAACCCCAACGAAAGCATTCCTTTATCAATGTTCACCCCGTCACTTGTGATTGGTCTTGTGCATAGTCTTGTGATAATATCGACTACAACACTGATTATTACTGACAAATAAAGACCACTATACAAGTTTATGGAACTGTCAAATACATAAAGAATACAAACAAGCATTAATATGAAACTATATGTACATATATACATGTCCAAAAAATGTAGGAAATCTTATTAGGCCACTGGTCAAATATGCATAATTATAGATTCTATAAAAATCAGACATTTGCCTGAAAATCCAACCAAACCTTACCTCCTAGTGTGCTCCTTTCACTGTCAGACTCGTCCCGTGCGGCATCATGACTGCTCTCTGTGGTGCTGGCACCCCCGTACCACCCAGCACTACCGATGCTGGTTCGACTCCCCGCCATGTAATTGTTGCCATAGATGGAGCTGGCCATGCCATTCTTACTGCCGATGCTGATGTTATCGTCTGATTTTTAAACAGAGAAAGAGAGAGAAGAGGCTCAAAACTCTGAACCTTTTAACACCCGGAGATGAATTTATCCTGACCTTTGCCGAGTTGTGGCCAGGTACATCACAAGTCAGATCATACATGTAGGCCACTCTCATTTCTCCTACAACTAGGACAGCGGAAGTTTGGAGAAATATCACCTTTTGGTTGGTTTTTTATTTGACCTCAATATTACACAGGGTTGTATTTTCATTGCGTAGGAGTTTAAACATTTTGTGAATTCTTCTTTTCCTTTTTTTCTTACTAACGGCCAAGTTGGGGGCCAACAACGGTTTTTGCAGCAACCTATAGGAAAAACACGACTGTGACGTCAAAAGAACAGACCCTATATTGAATGAATAGTGACAAGCAAGGACTTTTTGTCAGTTTACATGAATAGTTTTTGACTTGGCTTGAGGTGGGAAATGGAAGCAGAACTGGAAGCTTGTGAACAGGTGGTATGCACGCATTACATGCCACTTCAACCAATACACAATGTTACATAGCTTCCCATCCTTAGACAATGTCTTCCTTTATTTACATGTAATTCTTTATCTCGCCTTTACTTCTGTATCTATTCATGTTACTGTTCATTGTCACACTCTTCAACTCTTTATTTCTGTTTTGGATGTCCAATCTAGTCTTCACTGTTTGTCGCATTGTTTCTCGTCTGTTTTCATTGTTTTGGTCCCTCGTCCAATTGTCTGTCTATAGGCTGTTCTCTACAAGCCCTCGCTTATATGAACAGCTCCATACTTTCTATCTTTTCAAGATTCCTCTATTTTCTCTTATTATATTACATTGTATTCATGGCTCGTATTTATTTTACGTGTATTCTTGATTCGTATTTCAATGAAAGTATGAAAAGAAATGCTGTTTTGAATTTGAATCTGAATACATAGGATGCTGTTACTTGCCATATGCATGTACATCACAGAGCTCTATAAAAAACCTAGAGTGTGCACTCCATATTCTACGTACGAAACGTACGCAGTAATCGTGTGCCGATATGAACGTGCAGCCGCCATTGCCATCGTGAATGGAGGTATATTGAAGCTCAAAGTGCCTGGCAGTGATATACAGTATATACATGTAACTGCATGCTGCATTTCAACAGATTTCGCAGCGACCATACGACCATATCAGCAATATGAACACCGCACACACGCGCGCGCCTGACGTAAGGATTTTTCCATGGTGGCAAATGGTAGTCACTGCTTAAAGTTACACAACGAGTATGCAATCTAGGTTTTTTATAGAGCTCTATGATGCACATGTATCAAATTTTGGAACAGCGTGCATGAGCGTGGTGCCACTGCAGTTACGCTATTCTTCTTAGAAAAGTCTAGAAACCACATATCTTATATGGAACATGTATTATATACTTCATAAACTGAACAATGAAAAGAAATGACTAGCTTTGAAGGCTTCTTCGGATAAAAAAGCTCAAAGGCTCCTCCTATCTTGAATACAATGTTCCCTAACATTTGTAAAAGGGATATATCTTGTGGTCTTGCCTGATTGCAAAGTGGTGCTAGAATGACTTTCTGTTTTATGTAGCTTTGAATCAGACATGTACGGTCAAAGTGGCACTGAACGCCCACTCAAAGGCCAAACGTGCACGGCATTTTCAGCTGAATGAGTAAAAAACAGCTTGATCCATATGTGACAAGGCTGCATCCAAACACAGTCAAGTAAGATAAAGTCAGTGCCAGTACAGTACATGTAATACTCTGTCCATTTCAACCACTTCAGGGTAATCCACATAAATGACACCAGGTCAGTTTGCTCCCCCTCGTAAGACTAACAACCCCTGAGCTGCGAGACGTTTTTGCAGGCACAGACATGCATCCCTCCACTGGGAAGGCCAGACAAGATAATGCACGTTGCTTCCAGCAACAACGTGTTTTTCCTGAATCGCTCCAAGGGACATTTCAGGCTGGCTTCATCTTGGTTGTTTTGTTGGAGGAAGACTGTCCCTGCATTTGTACGTGGATTCTACTGCGTGGCGGCAGCTGCCTCTCTCCCACATGAATAGGACAACCTTCCCTCCCCCAAAGAATCAATGTCGCAAGGTCAAATCCAACCAACAAATGCAATTAATCAATCATGAAGGAGGCTAACAATTAGCCTTCGCACCCAGCCCGAGGAGAAATTAAGACACTCGGGAATCAAATGTTGTCTGCCGAGACTTGGAAAAAGAGATGAGGATGATTTAAAGGGAAAAAAAAATGACACATATGCGGACCAACTCAGTGTGTAATTTAAATGCCAGTCTAGTAAAATTCAAAAAGGATCCAGATGTCTGTTTTCATTTTATCATCCAACTTAGTGCTTAGCTTGAAATGGCCAGGCAACCCAGATACATGTACAAGTAAATCATCTAAAATCCATTCACAAAGACACACAAATTCCTCGGTTTGCTAAGGCTTCCCCCACAAAACGCATTAGCTGAGTCTTTTCATAGTTTGCTCTTTAAAATGTTTCATAAATAAATGACACTATTTTTCACAAACCTTTTGATCAAAATATTGGACATGGATACATGTACATGTACGGCACCTGTTTGTAGCACATTTAACTCCCTACAACCTGCGCCACGGTAGAGCATCAAAATACATGTCCCGTCTGTACTACCTTTGATCCAATAATTCAGTCAGTTTACTTCAGAATTTCATAAACCATTCTCTAAGGATATGTGTGCATTCAGTGGGTTCATGCTTATGTATATCAGCATACATGTACATTGTACAGGTGTACATGTACAAAATACATGCACATGTACATGTAGGGCATCTCATACAAGACCAGATTGCTTACTTATACACTCAAGTGTGTGATGTGTGTCCAGACATTGAGACAAAACGAAAATTACGTGTTAGGCCTACAACAGCTTCAAATGAAGGAAATCGAGAAAACTCCTGTGACAGGTTCATGTGGAAGAACACTCAAACTAACTGGAAAAAGGACTTGGACATTATTCTGTAGAATTTGGTGAATATCTGATTGGTCAAATGGTGTTCGTATACCGGTGCACATGTACGTGGTGTATTTTTATTATTTTCTTTCACGATTAGCAAGTGATGCATATCTTTACCGCTGTGCGTGCATCATTTCTCATGTGGCACCGCCTTTCATGCGATAAGCAAATTACCAGCGTGTGACCGCGTCTACGATGGGGTGCAGTGTACAGTCTGAAACACCATCAACATGCAGAATGGCAAGTGACAGATCCTCTTAAAGGGACAGGATGGTCAGATATTGACCTTGGGGGAGGGTGTTGAGAATTTCTCTCTCCTTGGAGTAACGAAGGGGGGGAAAGAAGACATAATTTTATCTTGCTTGGGGCTGAGATGTCCTCATGACCTTCCCAAAAAAGGCCTTTCTTCGGCTCCTTACCCTACTTTTTTTGGTCTTCCGTTTGCCCCTCCCCTAAAAGGAATATTAACACAAAAGCACACTGTGGATCTCTTTATTTTTTTATAAACATTTGTGACATTTGTACATGACTCAAAATTCAATGATTCCTTTTCAGCAGATGGTATCCAATATCACCGGTGCATGCCGTAGTGTGAAGTTGCCTACCATCTGTACGAGATATACAGGTGAATCAGTAAAGTGAATGTCTATACCCACCTGTGTTTGTCTCCCTCTTAGGCTTTCTCTTCCTTCCGATGCTGACTTCGTCTTCCGAGCTTGAATATTCGGATTCGCTCTCACTGACATCGGCTGTGGAATAGGGGGAACAAAAGCAACGAGGACAAAGTCGGAATGTGGTTGAGAAACGCAAAGTGCTGCACATGTAATTTGTAACCTGTCGCTGTTGTTTACACCAACCCTTACGAAAAGGATCACGCGACTTTCTGAGTTAATCACGGTGGATGACAAACAGTAGCCATTTGCAATAATCATAACATACATGCATATACAAGGCTCGTATTCATCAACACTATGCCATACCAGAGCTGTACATAATCTTTCATAGTATTGTGAAGTTTTGATTTCATTATTGTCTCAGTTACAGGTACAACATAGGAAGAGGTATCTCCAAAATCAGTCTTTACTAACAATGAAATCATTCTTCAAGATCTCTTTATATTTCTTGATTTAAACACTGGTACTATGTGTGTAAATTTGCTACTTATATTTTTGTTATCTGCTCTGTACATGTATTTAAAATTAGAAAAAAATGACCCTGAAATCATACATGTTGGTCACATACTTTCTGGGAAATAAAGATGCAAATACCCACTTAAACTATGTTCCAAGCTATAAGCTATACTTACTACAATTCGGACAATAATATTCCATTTTAGTTTTTCCAGGATGTCAAAACAGATCAATTTCACTGAAACTGGATCTTTTTTTTTTCTTTTTTTTCATAGCGGTGATTAATCACCCTATGTAGATAAACTGGCATCTTGGCATCTAAATGACAGAATTCATTGTAGTGCCATATCAAGTTTTGTGATAAATCCATGCAAACTGATACTACTCATCATGCCAGTTATATCCATTTCATGTCTATCAATTAGCTTTTAAAAGATCGCAAACATCAAGCAAGATAGAACTGAGACTTGTACCCACCTCCCACGCATGTACAACAGCCTTTTTGTTTTATAGGCATCAACATTTTTTTTTTCTGGTTTGCCTTTGAAATACAATCCGAGAAACTCCTTCAGCGGTAATCCAAGTCATTCACCGTCTCTGGTTCATTTGTGCCTTTGCCTGTTTATGTATCACCCACTCTTCGTCTGATGTTGTAATCATAATCCTTACCATCATCCATCCGTACTAACAGCCTTCCATAAAATAACCAAAAATTCATCTCCCTAATGCACCTCGGCCACAGCAATGAAAAATGGTGTTGTGGGTAAACTCCTTCAGCTTGGCGTTGGTTTTTTCATTGGGGAGGTTTTCTTCTTTCCAAGTTTGGAACAGGCATCAACGAGTAATTAACAAATTTGCCTTTTTAACAACTTGAAATTGAAAAACAAACACTGATCTTTTCCTGTTTTAGGCATTTTTCATGAATGAAACGACATTTTGAAGAAATGTGAAAGAGAAAATAGCAAAACGGAGGAAATGATGAAAATAGTTTTTTAAAGTCTTTTGTCCCAAACCGAAGAAAATTAAATGACTTGTTTATCTTGAAACAGTCAAACCTCACTAATAAGAACACTGTAAATACAAGATTCTGCTCATAACAAGGACATTTCTCGGTCCCAATCCTTTGTTTTTCATTGCTTTCATTCCTGATAATACAAGGTTCCTGTTATAACAAAGTAATTTGCCCAGTCCCAAGGACCTCTTATTGGTGAGGTCCAACTGTATAATGTAGATGTGATGGTGTACAGCCCAACCAGTGTACATGTACACACACTCAACCTAAGATGGCATTATGTATGCAAAGCATATGGTCTCATTTTTTTCAAATGTAAAGGATATACAAGTACATGTACACTGTTGATTAAAGACAATCTCAAGAAAAATGCCAAAGGAATTTTGATACTTTTCTACCGAATAAAGATAAACTTGGATGTGGGCTCGGTGGTTGGAATTTCCATGAAAATGTCAGTGTATCGCACCTGTAGTATTGTGCACTTATTCAAATGAAAAGTCAACAGTTTCAAATAATGAACTGTATAAGCATACTACATTGAAACTGCACAGAAAACATGCAAATGCATATTTACATTCAAATGATACAAATATCGAGAGCAATGTTAAACAGCCATGTTTCCCAGGTTTTCCAGCATCCAATCTTTTATTTTCTTATGGCTGACAAAAACGACACGCTAACTTCTGAATACTAAGGTGGGATCCCTAAAACGGATACCCAATGTCACCTGGCCATCCTCAGTCCCAATTCTTAACTGAACCTGTCTCAGGATTATGCCCATCCCACGTGGGCAATGACGAGCAAAGATGCCACAAATAGACACACAGGGATCGCATCCCCAACATCTTAAGGGACGATCCCTGTGATTTCCCTACAGACCTCGGGTGAGAGAGAATGTAGACTGCTGGAACAAATATTTATCACGCTTGCGGAGGGGCCGAAAGACTTGGATAAATTTGCACCATTTTGTTGTTGGTGTTGTTTTTATCTTTCCCGTTTATGTGACAACGTAATAAAAAAACCTTGTTTATTATATCTCCACTTCTCTACAAATGTGACATTTGATCACATCTCCAAATATTATTCCAAATTTTGTTATTGTTACAATCTTCCCACTGAAAATGCGGCTGTTCCATACTACACTATCACCGTCATCACACCTGAATTATAATGTTAATTTTCGAGTCAATCCCATCAGTAAACAATTTTTCTGTTTGTATCCTTAGAAAAAATTTTAATTTAAACTTTTGCTAGTCTTGTAATTGACTACGTACATGTACCAGCACAAATTACAAATACCACGAAGTAGCTTAAAGGTCTGTTCTCACACAAGTCTCACAGTAGCCTTTTAATTGAGACAAAATTTCGTGTAAGTATCATCGTGATACAGAACAGACCAGCACCTTGTTTTACACTCACTGTAATGTCCATTCTGCCTTTGTGTTCAACATATGGCATGTATGTAAGAGATTTGGTATTAACAAATCTGTACACAGATGCACCAACACGAGCCATGAAAGCCTGTGCATCTTCAGGTATCAATCACTCAACGTTGCCACTATATTTCATATCCCATTTACGCAACGTCTGGTGAGCCGCAAGATTTGAATTATGCACAACAGGCATACATTTATTACAGTTTGGTTCATTCCAGGCTGAGCAACATGTTTCTGTCTATATGCTTGGAGCATAGGTGTGGGTATTTTAGGTTTGAAGATTCTACCTGTATTTCCATCTTCAAAAACAACGAGTGCTCCACCAGAGAATTACATGTACGCATTCAAGAATTCTAAAACTTTATTGAAATTTTAAAGTGTATACCAAGCATTCATACAGAGCAAAAAATATCTGCTGCAAGCCTTGTGCATGTATCTATCCAGCGTTCTTGTGGGGAAGATGTGATCTGACATTTCTTCTTATCAAAAGCTGATGTCACAAAGCAAACATGAAGAGAAGAGTGCCTCCTTTACAAGGCATTAACCATTCAGACTCTACACTGTAACACTCCTCAAAGTTGGAATGCTTCAACAAGATGGCCCATACCATTTGCAAATCTCTAATACAAGTGAGGGGAACTTGCTTGTGTTTGGAATCTTAAGTGAGCTGAACTTTCAAGTGCTCAAAATTTTAAGAGAGGATATTTAAACTGGAATTTGTATTTCTAGAGGTTAACAAACTTAGGTGTCATAATCAGTCCCTCAGTCTTGTTGAACTCAGTTACATGATGGTGCATGTGCCGATATTCATCGATAGACGTAGTGCTGAGTATTAATAACTGCTACAAGCACACAAAAAAACATCTCTTCAACCATCCAGAAACTTTCTGGCTCCCAGCCAGGATTTGGTGAGCTGTTTTTCAACCTGTTTTTCCCAATCAGATTGTACAACATCAGCCAGGACCCTGGGATTATGACTAGGGAAGTTCAGGTTCAGCGTCGGACTTGCTTAATGCAGCTACATGTATCTAGTAGGCTATCAGCCATCTTGTGTTAGTTACTAGGGCTGCAGTCATGTGACAAGACACCCCCTGGGGTCTTTTTTTCCTAATGTTTCATCGCACCATCCTGCGGATTCATTTTAATTTCTGATTGACTAGAGCACGTCAGTGATTTGCTTTTCTAAGAAGGCAACAACGTCAGTCACAGCACGTGTGATAGTAACACTTTCTTGTCTACTCCTGAGCCCCCTCCCCCCGGGAAGTGACTTTCATAAAACGGGGAAATTTCATTCATGAACCCCGGCTTAGTTGATGAATCTTTTCCATAGACACTTCAAAACAATATATCCCTTACGTTTACAATTGAAACCAAAGTTTTTTCGTTAGGTTATTGGAGATGGGCAATTCCTCATCAAATGTTCAACCCCCAAACAGCCTTCACATACAGTACATGTACATTAGTTCAAATGTATCTGTGCATTACAATGATTCGACTACCATGTGTTCACCTAAGATGAGTGTGTTTTGTACTTTAGGATAAAATTATAGATGTACATGTGTATGTCAGTGCATGTAATTTTTCTCTTTTTGTCTTGATATGCCACAAACGGAATAGCACACTGCAATATACTTAGAAAATTGACAACCGTGCAAAATTTAGCAGTCGGAAGTTTAAAGATAAAGGCTTGCACATGTCTGCAGGTTTCCATATACCGGTACTGTCTTGATGCTTGACCTGCAGGCCACCAAACTGCACGTACATGTATTACAAAAATCTGTTCCACCTGAGGTTTGCCTCAAGCCTAAATGGTCAATCAGTCCCTTTCATAAAATGCCTTGCATCAAGACAACACATTATTCAACACTTGAGAAATAACCTTGTGTGATAGGGCTCTTGCCATCTGCTTCACAAAGCATTAATTGCAAAAGCAACCAACTTGGCGAGGCACATTTTATATTAATCTACTCCACCAGTACATGTACCGGTAGGCATCGTTTGCTAAGTCCAGGAATTACGTGATCACAGACATGTTCCCAGAAATTGCAGATACATGCACATCAAAACACATTTAGAATCAAGTCCACATTTCAACCAGGACTAAAAACAGATCATGAACTAATTTTTTTTTTTGAAGTATTGGGCAATTCAGGTCACTTAAAAATTTTCTTTTTTCTTAGTCTCAATTTAAATCAATTAAACAATGGCTCAAATGAAAGGACACCAGCATTCAATGTACATGTACTTGTAACCGGATCAATGCTGTACTCTTCAATATTGATATCTTTGACCTGTAATAATATGTAAGTCCTTGCAGTTGAGTGGGCGACATGGGTGAATGAAAATGGCAACAAACACAGGCATTTTACACGTACATGATCTACACTGAACAATTAGTTTTTTTAGGGGAAGAAACCACAAACATGGAAACTGTATGAATCTGTTCCCTCAAGCTATCTTAAGAAAAAAGACACAGATCGTATATCTCTTTCAGTCTGAAGTCCTCAATTTCCAAAGGAAAAATCCCTTGTCCACTGTGCCTGAGATGTACAAGAGCCTTTGCGTAAGAACATGTACATGTAAACCAACACCATTTGCTGTCGCTGCTCATCTTCATGTGACATGAGCAAATTTCCTGTTGGTCCGGCAGGCCTGCTCAAGTTTTCAATTTAGCCACGTGACGCATTCTCCGGAATTAATTGCTGCGCATCGTGTTTTTTAATGTATACAAAGACTGTACATACGTGTACATGTACGTGTACATGTTATTTGCGTATTCGAGACCCACAAACCGGTATTTGACAGTTTGGCCGGATTGAATTTCTCTATAAATGCTGAACACAAGCTTTTGTGTTACTTACAGTATGTGTTTTCAAATGAAATCAAAGAATGACTTCTTTCCACGATTCTTCAAAGGGTTTCACGAGGGATATTGGCCCGCTGCTATACAATACAAACGTCTATTACAACACAAAATAGTTCCAAGACCATTTGTTGTCATTTTTCTTCGGCAAATACAGCAATTAATACATTCATCTTGCTTCTTCCAGCCTTTGATTAAATACACGAATACATCGAATCTTCGTTATTGATGATTTTCTTCAGTTTCAAATTTTTTGTCTGAAACATGTATGTCACAGTTCTAGAAAAAGTTTCAGATATAAAAAAAAAACACCTCCGTAACGATATCAGAACTGTTACATGTAAAGTCATCTATTCACCATGTGAGTATTTCCCAGCTCAAAATTCACTGGTTCAATACTGTCACTCAGAAGAGTCCAGAAGACACTGTAGTTACAAGTACGTGTACATCAGTTGATCACATTTCAAATAAATGTATTTCAGAACTACTTTATATTGGCTGCTGGTCAGGGGTATTTAAACAGGAATCCCCTTTTACTTTCTAACTACTTTTTCATGCTTATCAGCCATAACTAAAATCTAATCCAATCCCTGTGCTAAAACTGTCCAAAAATTCTACAATCTTAAAATTCCTTAGATTTCTTTGCAAGGACTGTTGCAATCTTCCCAAATCTGCCACTCCACGGGAAAATAATGATTTCAAATTAATCCTGACCCTGCCAGACGCAGCACAGTGCATCAGGTGAAAAAGACTGGTGCACTTTGATGCACTGGGCAATTAACAGCAGCCAAACAAACTGGCCATGTTGAGACAGTGGGAGCTGGACAGCTAGTCACATTGAACAATGCCACTGTTGGATCTTGTGGTGACTCGCAACCACAGACTCCCAGGCTGTTTGGCCTTGGGGAGAGTTGACAAGTTGGATCTTGTTACACTGGGCAGGTGAGCCACTTTAACAAACCACGCAGTTTGATGCATCTGGCAGGGTTTCTAGCCAGCAGCAGGCCTCCACTCTCCCAAATCATTCAAAATCCTCAGCCGCCTCCCCATAAATTTAACAGCATCTGAGATGGCTTGAGTTGAAATAAAATTGACCGTAAAACCCTCACATCGGAGGAAATCCCGTCTTGGATTACTCTTACCTTTGCTCCACGTGTTGTTGACTCGGCCAGTGGTTGACTTTCTCCCCGACTTTCGGGTCTCAAACCTCCAACCTTGCAATCTGGACTGGTCCACTTTCTTCTCTGGAATGATGTATTTTGGAAGGCTCTTAAAAAACCAGGCTCCGGACCTCTTCCACAACTACCAAAAAATGTACAGAATCACCATCTTCATTACACCGCATGAAAGCATCTGTTGTGAGTTAATCCCACACGTACCTACAAATAATCTAGGTGATAAAATTCTAACTGAATGCGCACAAAATATGTGACGCACAAGTTGCAGCTTTTCCCGAGTTTCTTTTTGTTATAAAAATTCGAATGCACCAGCAGCGGATGGAAGAGGAAACCCCTCATATGGCCTCATCTACCTTGTCATCTCGCATTTTACATCAAGCAGCATCCAAATTCCTCTGCTGTGGCTGAGGATAACTCATACCGTAATGGAAGAAATTGCCAAGCGGCTGCAGCCACTTTGCGTCATGACAACAGTTCTTTCTCTGCCAGTAAATTCGCCTAGTTCTTAACAACACAGAGCCTGTTGGTAATGTGCACATATTATTCATTTAAAGCCGACCTTACATCAGAGATCACACGTAACAAGCATGTGCTTGCCAATCTCTGGCTACATCCGAATCTATTGTCTAGAGCTAGGTCTAGGTTTTCACTCCATTGGAAATACATGGAGACAAGCAGACAATAGACCTAGCCGTAGCTCTGGCCTCTGACTTTGTGGCTGTGTCCTAATGCTGTGGCTAAGGCTGAAAGCAGCATACCGGTACATGTACAATGTACATACGGGAGCCAGTGGCTAGTGGCTGTGACTTCTTACCATAACCACGTGTTACTCCTAGCCACAGCCACCTGAGTTGGTCACAGTTTCTTTCTGAGAGAGATCATTAGGTTATGCTTGGACTACAGTCTTTTTTTTTTTACCTACCTCCCTGGTCTCACTGCATATTTTGCATAACAAAATGGGATGCTTGAAACTGTTTGTTGTGTCAACCCCACACTTTGTACACACGGCCTGCAAGAAAGGAAACACACTGGGTCATTTTTAATTAAAAGCTGGGAAGTTGTAAGGTTTGAGAATTTTTATTTTTATATTACATGGCACATACAAAATTCAGTAAGAGGAGGCCAGAAAGTAACCATCACGTTACCAGTGTTTTCCTGATGGTTTGGCATTTCTGCCATGTCTTGTTCGCTTCACAACCTGCTCTCCATCTGTGTCAGAGTGGAGACTGTAATTGGATTGAGACCAGACATATTGCAACTCGAGTCCAACTCGAGTCTGAGTCAGCAATGTAAGTCGACAACTTTGATACAGTTTACGAGTAAAAGTATGCCACAGGTTCACCGCACTGATTTATAGCAAAGCGCACAAATTTGTTAAGCAGTTTTTTCCCCGCTTACAGCTCGGCATACCTTATAGCAATCATGGCAGGTTAGTGGAGAGGCACCAAGTAGACCAAACTCATCACCACACAAGACACATTTCCCCGAACCGTTGCCCAACGCGTTCTTCTTCATGTTTTCTAATTTGTCAACGAGCCGGCTGTGAGAAATGAAATCAAACACACAGAAACTTTTTATTACACTGGAGATTGAAATACAGAGTGGAATTTCCCAATCACTGGCTACAGAAACACCAAAAATAAAAAGTGTTTCCATGGGCTCTGTTGTAACATCCTTTCCACACCTAATTATTGGCAAAATGGTGACCACAAAAAAGGGATCTGTCTCTAAACCAAAACCCGAAATTGTTCCTCTTTTCACCAAGATTAAGGCTTCCATAATCCTGGAACAAACATGGTTTTCAATTCAAATGCAGAGACATAGGAAAAGCTACAAGTATACATTGTAGCATAAAAGCTACATTGAGAACAGTTCTTCCTGTTGGTAAATTTTCGGTAAATATCAGAAAACCATGTGCATGATACACCAAAATCTTCCAAAATACACCCTCCCCCAAGGCTAAATATTCCTTTTTGGGAGCATGCATACAGATTTCAATATCTCCTATTCACTCCCTTATACCCAAGACTAACGGCAATTAACTGAAAAAGATCCGTCTGATATTCATTGGACTGAACAACAATTGATGGTGCAAAGTTGTGCCATACATGTACATGTAGATGTTATAATGAGTACATGTACCGGTCGTGCAAATATTGGAATAACCTCCTTTTGGACAATTTGAGAGCCTTTTACGAGTGGCTCCCCGAGGCTATTAGTAACACCTCTTCTCCTGTTACTAAGAGCATGGCAAGGGTGTGGACACCGGGGAGGTGTATTTTTAGCCATCCATGTGTACATTAAGGAATATGAAATGTCCATGGTGACCAATTCATTTGTGTCTATACATGTACACGTATATGAATGCTCATTTGTTCTGTTTAGTATGTGCGTGGTAACTACAAACTTACAGTGCGTTTCCACTTGAATTGGGAAAAGGTGGATCTTGATCAGGCATTTTGGTGTGATCGTACCCTTACTGCAACAAAACCGCAGGTCGCGTTCCCACTTACGCTTGATCCACCTTTTCGCAGGGACATGTCAAGCCTGAAAGGTCACTGAGTTTGGTATTGCGCATGCGCTAGCTTGCTGAGCGCATGCTCTGTGGCAGTGTTGCGTGCTGGGGCAGTGTTGCCTGCTGGGGCGGTATGCGTGTGACCCTTGCGGCGTTTTGGGTGCGGAGTTCTGCTGACGTGACGACCTTGAATCGGACTGAAAGTTCCGTTTCCGTTTTTGATCCTCTTTTACACGCTGCGGGTTATACGCTAACACGGAATTAGTTTTGATGGAAAACAAGTAAGAATACACAAATGAAAAAAGTTCAGAAATGGACGAATGCGCAATGATAATTGTGAAAGAGCTAGGCACGCATCGCGCATGCGTAGTGACATGCTTTACTAGCCCATAGTTCAGCAGTTGTTATTTGTGCATGCTGTGCACATTAAAAATTTCACATGAGCTACACGACAAAATCTCTATTTCTTTGTTCATCAGACCGCAAATGTTTTGCGCAACTCGTGCATGGATGGATGTTGACAGGTCAAATTGCCGGATCAGATCCACCTTTTGCGTTCCCATCTGATCGTGACCCGCTAATTGCAGGATCTGATCCACCAATTGGGGGATCTGTATCCTACTCCAGAAGAGGATCAAGAAAGGTGGATCTGATCCTGATCCACCTTATAACGGTTAGCGTTCCCACTACACACAATTGTCGGATATGATCCACCAATTGGGGGATCTGATCCGGCAATTTGGCAAAAGGTGGATCAGATCCCCCAATTGGTGGATCAGATCTCCCAATTGGTGGATCAGATCCCCCAATTGGTGGATCAGATCTCCCAATTGGTGGATCAGATCCCCCAATTGGTGGATCAAGTGAGTTTCTACTACTACTACCTATCCATAAAACCTGTACCAAATTCACAGATAAATCAAAGCCATTGTTTACATAAGCAACTGGTATGTAGTCATGGGCAAGATTAACACAATACCAAATAATACACAAACCATATACAAGAGTCAGTGCATAAAGTACCATTGTGTGCAAGAAAAGATACCATTTATCATTCATGTACATGTAGCTGCCTACATCTGCGGAGTACACAATGTACCAATATCAAGTTACATGTTCGTACCCATAGTAAGCACTTTAGGATACTGAAGTGTGCTGTCATTAACAGTAAATACCACACAAACGAATGGAGTACAGGCGTGCATTGGTTCTCACGCTAATTGTCACTTTGGTACATGTATACATGCGCTGTTTTCACATTAGGCAGAAGAAATAGTCCGCACAATTGAAATTAACCAATACATATACGGTCATGACCATGACGGTACAGTTCTGGCACATATTTAAGCAACAGCCATGCTACGGTAGTTGAAAATACTGGTGTGAGAATGTGAGAGTTGTACATTACAATACAAGTGTGCATGTAACACGATTTAAGCTACACTAGCAGTACATGTGTACTAGCGAGCTTGGAAAGTTGTACGGAAATGTGTACTTAGTATGTTTGATGGACTCCTATGCGGACTTAAACTGGTTCATAAACTTTGTACATGTATATTTACCCATGTGCCTAAAGGTAACTGTCTTGGTACATATATACATGTATATATGTGCAGTACATACAGTCTCTTCACTGTACGTAATCCATACCATATAAATTTGTTAAAATACAGTGCATATTTACGCACTTCACTGCTTATACATGTACATGTACGTGCACACCGTAGTGTACATGTATATTTATGTACAATATACATGCACTCAATGGCCAACTGTACAGGCATGTATTTATACTATTGATTTTGCACAGTTGTTAGTGAACGTACACATTGCATTCAACCACTTTATTGGAACACCTACTGTACAAGCAGACAAAATGGAATACCACTTTAAAAAAATCCATTCTGACTTTGTGAATCAAATTAAACATGATGTACCTGTACACAATCAAGATATTTACGGCCCACAGAAATACGTAATCGTTATTGATGCAACATGAAGTACATGTATAGTGTATACATAAACAAAGAAAACCTCCATAATGCAACATGACAACCCACGCACACAACTTTAAAACTGAGAGGAAATTACACGCCACATGTACGCATGTGTTTATAATGTCTATAACCAGAACATACAGAAGGGTACCAGTATAGTGGGGAGATAAACATCATTGCATGCTTTCAACACATCCTCTGTGTGAAATATCCAGATTACAGTTGCACATGACATGTACATCTGTCAACAAAAATCAATCATTTGCGAAAAAGCCTAAAACTTGCATGCTTTGCGAGATTTGAAACCAACGTGTCCCCTTAACAGTACAGGCCTAGTGATACATCAAAGTAAGCTCATTAGTTCCCATCCCCAGGCAACACTGTGATCCTTCCACATATTACCATGCAGATGGGTGATGTCTTTTCTCCACATCGGCGATTTCCATTTCACTTAAGGGCTCTCAATAAAAACAATTAGATCTGCAGACAGAGCATGTCTCCACGATGGCACAAAGACAGAAGGAACGAAGCCAAAACAATTCAAGATCTGAACTACCGGTATCACGATGTCATCCATGTGTGCATGTTACAGTACTGCACACGGACAGAGGTATCTTCTGTTGATGTTATTTGTAATATTGAAGTGGATTTTGAGCTGTGGCCAACACATGAAGAATATGCACATGTACATGTGTACCTTCTTACGGTGGGCCTAATCTGTTATTATGTGGGGCAGCCCATCATGAATTCTACATGAGTTTGGCAAACTGGTAAATTGGCACACTGTGCCCTGAGCTACGGTAGGATAAAACGTGCTGACTCTAGTTTCATGGCTCTTACTGGTTTATGTGCGTGCGTACACCGTGACTACCCACTGACTGAAAATGTTGTAAACGTACATGTACAGTACTGTTATACGCAGGCTGACAATTTCTTGTTTATTATGTAAGACCACTGATCTCACACATCAAAAGTTTTCTCTTTGTAATCATTTCAACCAAATCACTGTTTCTGAGGAACACTGAAGTCCACTCATGTAATACTAGGTAAGCAGCCAAGTTTCATATTGCAAAGGCAAGAACTACAATGTTTCTTAAAACAGTTCGACATCAAGGTCGTTTGCTCTGGAATAAAATCACCCCAATACCACACTTTAGAAGTATACATGGTTTTAAAAGTACTTGAAGAAGATCCTCCTTTCCAGTGTAATGTAGTTTATTTAATCTATGTTGTACATATATTTTGTGGACGTATGACATTTCTACTGTGCATTTATAACATTAATAATGAAACAGTCATGTCTCGAATTGTATCATTCCTAAGATGTTATGACAGAGAAAATGTTGCTAAATCTAACGTTCATCTGTACCTTCTTACTCTCTTTATTTTCTCTTCTGTATTTAGTAATTATAGCCTAATATGGATTTTATTCTAACAAACAAGGAACCAGGCCATGAATAAGCGTTTCGCTTTGTCAGGTATTCACCACTCATCATCTATTATTTCATTCTGTAATAACATTGCTTCTTTATGTTCTAATTATGATGTATGGAAATAAACCAAATCAAACCGAACCAAATGATAGAAAAGAGTAAAAGTGATAACCCTTTCACTTTTTGATAAGGAGATACAAACTTTTTATTACAAATCATTTTTTCTTTTGAAACGCTGCATTTGTAAATGAAAGGAGCATATACAAAGGTCACTGCATAAATCTGGGATAAACAATCTTTGTTTAGAAATCTATTTTGGGGTGCACTCTTTAGTTCATTATAAACATGTTTCCTTTTGCTTGTAAAGAACTTGACCAATGTGATATTTTTTGTAAACACTGTTTCCATTGTTGTATAGCAAACCCCTATGAAACAAAATGAAACAATCCTCTTTTTGCATGTACAAGTGCAAATAGAAGTCTTCCAGTCTTCCAGAAGTTCTGCAAATGATAAATTTCTTCAAGCCAACTTCATCAGATCAAAATGCATACATACCAGTAAATGTACAGTACATGCACAGATAACAAACATGCACGTGTACATGTATACATGTATGTATGTATGTATAGGGTGCTGGCTGCAATGAATGATTCACGTTATGATGTAGACACAGTGCTGATTGTCTTCCCTCAAGGTACACTTATATGCACATGTACATGCAAATACTACATGTCTGTGAAATAGAGATTTTATTAACTGCACACATAAACCCTCTGGTGAGATGTTTACACATTGATGCTGCTAGGGATATACATGTAATGTGGAACTGTAAAAGTCACCTTTGGCAATTGCTTCTTTTTTTTTAATCAAGCCACAGATTTTACAAGAAGAAAGAACGAGGGCCTATATGTAGGCTTTTGTTTTTCATGTACATTCAGGAACAAATCAATGTCCAATATCCTCTACCAGACGGTCCATTCATGGTAACGGATGCAGTCTGCTGCTAAGCAACCACCGATTGATGAGCCACGTGTTTTGGCAGGGATGTTTGTGGCCAGGACAAACACGGCATTTAGCATGTTGGGTGAGTGGTCCTTTCTCAGCGCACTCCAATACAGCCAGGAATACCAATGCATCACAACATGACATCATTGCATGCAGGAGGACTTTCTATGCAAACAAGTAATCACTTACAAGTACAATCAATCTCTGGAAACATCCTGCCTTCCAAAAAAACATTACAAGAGTTTGCCAAAATGGATGTACGGGACAACCATTTTCTTCCACAACCATGGTACTGAGTCTTTTTCACGTTAGCAGCAATTTGGCCGTGGTTACCATGGATGGTTTTCATGGCGTCTTTTACAAAATTCGCTGGATGTTAAATTATGTCTTCAACTTTTCTGCTGCTGCTGATACATTATGGCAGCATCATTTCTACAATGTACACATGTCCGAATTCGTTTTGTACTTGAGATATGGCCTTGTTGCACTGAAAAAACGAATTAGAATGTCTTGATTAGACCAATGATGTACTAGAAATTCAAGAAATGAATACTAATTTAACCCAATGGATGAAAAATGTTACAAATCTGTTTAAATATTCTAATTATCAGTGGTTCTTGTAGAACTTTTATGTTGTATAAATTTTACCATTTCTGTGTCATACTCTTTGAACTCAAATAATTTTTAGCAATAACCTGGGAATTTTCAATTTAAATTTCTCTGAAATTTCATAATCAGAACAATGTATCTTTTTTTTCAAATGAAGTCACAGATATACACTGTATATTGTATTTTAAGAACTTTATTACAAAGACAATGCAAAAAGGAAAAAATCTAGGTACAAAATAAGAACAAGAAGTCCACAGGTAAAAATGCAAAAATCAGATTTTAATTCTGCCACTGCTGGTGAAAGATCAAACCTGAACAAAATGGCCCGACACCACGTGATCTCTTGCCCAACACAGTCTATTATAAAGATCACACCAAGTGATCTTCCTAGAAGCCAAGTTTCAACACACTGTTATATGAGCCTCTCCCATTAAGGCCATTAGTGCAGTCCATTACGGCATTATTGCGGCCGGCGCTGTCTAGGGCCTGGGCTGCATGTGGTACACGCTCCGCGCTGCAGTGAAATAATCTGTTTCCACACTTAACGTAATTGTGTTGGCTGAGCAACGCTAAGCCTCCTGGATCGTCACTTTGTCCGTAATAAACCACTGTGTAAATAACCTAGAAATCAGCCATCGAGGCAATGAGTCTACGTACATGTATCTGAGGCTGACTTACATTTATATTGCTTTACGGCTTAAAACTCTTTCTTATGGGCAATTACCAATGAACAGTATTACTGGCATACAATAAATCAGGGATATATAGTCAAAAGGTTACCATCCCAAACCCCTCTGAATCTGCCAAAATCCAACACCTGGTATTTCATTTGATTTTAATGGACCAAGGATGTACATATACATGTACATGTAGATCCATTGTCCCATTTAGTGCAATTTTCAAATGGGTAAGTTCAGTGTTGGGTTTAAGTAGATTAAGAAAAAATCCTTAAGTGAATAAATTTAAAAGGATGAAGTTATTAAATCAATAACAGTGATGTTATTTGTCCATATTGATGAATTCACTTGTTTTGTAAATTTGCCACAACATCCTTTTCCTCATGCTTGTAGCTGCAGCTATCTTAATCTTTTTACTAACATGGCTGTGCAGGAAAAATTAGAGGCATACCTCCATGTTTTCTCAGCATCCAAATTGTACATGTAACTCCCACATTCTTAAGCTGTTGCTACGATCTCTCTACTCTGAAACACAATTTCAAGATGCAATGCACACATCTTGCATCACAGCAATGTCCACGCATCGCCACCTAACCTGACAACCACAAACCCTCCACACCTGCTTTTGTTCAGGGGCTCCTGACGGTCTTACCCTATTCTTTCCTGTTCTGCCACTTCCAATTTGTCCGCTCTCTCAATCACACCCAAGATGGTCTCCTGTTCTTCCCTGCTCAACGTGTCACTTTTCTTGTATTTGCTAGCAGAGGTGTGGAAGGACCACCCGGAACCCAGCCTTCAAGGAGAAGAGAAAAAATAAATTACAAACATGACCTAACGTGTCACATCCCCCCCCCTGCGTTTAGCGATAGGTGTTCAAATTAGGATGAATAATTGATTTGACACAACTCCCTCATTTTAACTGGAAGAATGCAGAAGGTACATGTACTTTAAAATGTGCCAGAAAAGGTCGTAACTTTTGAAACAAGCACAATCGTCTGTACGAGACTTATTTGACCCAGTGAATTAATCCTTTGTGTTTGATTGTGGATTTTGAGCATTGGGCCACTGCAAGAAAAGAGAGGAAACTGTCTGAGTTTGCTCACTTTAAAGATATCAGCTCTTGATTTACATTTCAACTGAACTTTTTATAAAGTGCAATATTAGTTTTATTCAGAATGAGTTTGAGATCATCCATGAAGACAGCTGGCAATGCTTACATGGCTTATGTAGAAAAATCCGAGAAAATGTCCATAAATCTGTCAAGATAAGTATTTTTGGATTGGCTATCCATCAAGCTAGTCATATCACAGCATACTGATCACCCCATTTTCATGATGGATTCTTATCTCAGATCGATAACCTACTATTGTACTTGGACATGTGTAGGTTGTAGAGAAAATGGCCTGGGAAAAGTTAAGCTGAAGTTTCTACTCAAATACTCACTTCGCCCGGAGGGCAAGCTGTCTGTCGTTTGGGCAAGTCCACCGATCCACCGCGCTCCCGCCAACAAATTCTCCCATGTTAGTAGCGGCACCGTTTATGGGCATGAACGTTCAAATATGTAGAAAGACAGGTAGGGAAATTCTGCAAACCACCTGGGAGCAGTTGCCAAAGTGGAATCTGGAAACAGGAGAGAAAATTGTCAACATAATTTTGGGTGTGACCTTTGAGAATAATGATGATCCTTGCTTGCTGGGAACTTAAATTTATACCAAGTATTACTTTCAAATAGACTTAATTACTGTGTAGAGGGAAATGAATACAGTATCCCATTTAGTAAGCAACACATCAGGTGTGAACGGCCATGTGTGTTCTGCTGTAAATAAACCCTTACTGTATTGAAAAATTAAAGTGCTACATTGACATGAAAACTATCTTCCACACTGCAGTCCCATTTTATGTTATCTGTGATAGGTCTACCCAGCACAAGTATGTGGCCTGACATGCACTACGCTTGCAGACAGAAATTCACCAGCAAAATCTGCAAAAGTAATAACCCAGTGAGCCGTCTATGCATGGTGCCGGTACCTGTAAACCTCTCTTGGTAATCAATCTTGTTTTGGCACCCAGAGGTTGGGTGGCTGACAAGGGGGATTCACTTTGAAAAATTACAAAATGCAGTTGTGTACGTCAGCACTTACAAGTGTAATATGCTGTGTCATGTCTGGATGTACATGTATACATGAATGTGTACAGTACATGTATACATGTATAGCTTATAAATTCCACTGACCACTTACATGTACATGAAACATTACTCCGGTCTTTCCAAAAAAGGAGTTTCTTTCAATATTTTAATATACATGTCCTGGTACATGTAAATCACCATAATAGGGGCAATTCAAAACCGGAGGACATGTACTCCCAAGAAGAAATCACCTATTCCTGTATCAAGCTGTTTTGAAATGCATGATGGGAAATTTGTGGACACCTGTGCATGGAACTTACTGTACATGTATTTTCAAATCCACCACTTAATGATAGAATGATAGAACGAATGTAGATGTAATTTTGTTTTTTACCTGACAAGTTAAAACAAAGTTACCTGCTCCATTACACATGACACCATGAAGCAAGTTGATCATGCTCTACATGCACCTAAAAGCTAAGTGGAATCCATTTCTTCAATGAAGTCCCAAATTCATTTCTCAGTTGAGCTGCTTAAATAATGATGAACCCAATATTCAAAATTTGGCATGGTTCAGCTGCCGCAAGTGTCTACATGTACATGCAGCCTGGCTTATTTATGGTTCATTGCAAACCACAATTCCAGTGAAATTGTACATGTAAGTAGCACCAAAAACCATATTTGCAACCATGAAATACTATCCATGTGCCACACTGCTGTGGGTTTTCTACAAGCACAATTCAAGGGTTGAATCATACATGTAATTCAACCCCTGTTTATGTAAGCTGTGGTGCCCTATATACTTGTCAATGTGGTTGCATTGTCTTGTACTTTTCATGGTGTTTAATTACAGTCAGACGGACAGCACTTTGGCTCAACAAATTACCCCAGGAAATTGGAAAAGTACCAACATGTCCACACATCCACATGTCCGCATTTAATGATGAACGTGTACTGGTAGAGCAGACTACAGTAAGCATGGTGAGGAAATCGCCACGCACTCTTTGGGCAGAGGCACAATCTTTTTAATCATAACCGTCTAAGTGCAATGCAATTATAATCTCTCCTTACAATGTCTGGCCAGGAAGCTTCCTGGATACTTCTCCACTGTGCATGAAACCGATGCCTCCCTCTCTCCACTTTACAAGCATCTGAGATGGTTAAGTTTTAGCATGGTTCATAAGGGAATACTGTAAATGTAGTTTTTATAGCAGTACGTGGCGTACAGGTACTGTATAAATGTATTTTTCCATATTCACTGTCCATATATGGTATCATCAACATAATACTGTATGGCACATGTACCGATGCACATGCCGTACGTAACTTGCCACTGCACCTCTACGTGACCTGACCTGCGCAGGTACCCACAGGTAAGGAATATTGTGAAAATCTTTAAGTCCCACAATTTACTTTTTTCTCAAATTACATATTATTGCAAAGCTGACAAAATAAAGAATGCCGGACCCAGAAGAGTATAAATTGAAAAATAACAACCTAGTACCAAAAGATATATGCACCTGTTTATGTATGCACGGTAGTTGTCTCAAATACATGTACATGTATGTATCGGTACATGTACATGTAAGTTCCTCAATCAAACCTTTACCTACCGGTAGCCAAGTTATTTTTTACAAAAAGTGAATTAAATTATTTCATGAAAAGTATGTGGTTTACTTTTGGGCACATATAAAATCAAACTGACTTCACACTGTGTCTGCACAAGGTTCCTGCTGGCAAATGTTAAACAGCAGCCAACAATTCAGGTGCATACGTGTACATGGACATGTACAATGTACATGTACACATGTATGTAAATGCACAATTGAAGCCAAACACATGTACTTTTTCAATCCAGTGCTAAATTATAATACACTTTGTCTCTCACCAACTGCTACGAGATTACCGTAAAAATTTGTGGATATTTGCCCTTCAGCGACGATGGCAGTTGATAGAGCTCCGGAATTCTGCAACGCGTCAATATTTACAGCAGAGACTCTGATGAATAGTACACTGAAGCCCCATAAATAGCTAAGATAAATTACAGCTTCTTACACTCGCTCTGCTGACGCTATGGTTACCGTTACACTGCCTTGCTACATGAAGCAGAAGATAAGAACCTACGGAGTAAATAATTCCATTCCTGTGTGTGTGGACCTCTCTCTTCTGCAGAAATATGGCAAACGATCAATATAATACATGTACAAAAGTATGGTACACGAACACGTACCGGTTTGTACGTGCGTCGGTAGGTACAGCAAAACATATTGGGCTGCCGCCAGGAGTTATTAACAAATGCATTCCAGGTTTGGATAAACAAAACAGACTGTGTCGCAGGTTCCCATTTGCAAAGTGACTTCTGTTGTAATCTTGTCAAAAGATTTAACATTTTTATCCTTTCATCCACGTTAATCAGCTTCCGAACTGAGCAAAGGGTTGGTTATTAGGAAACACCCATAGGTTATTTTCCCACGAAGGAGTCAGCTTGACACTTCAGCTGATGAAAATTAAATACTAAAGTGCATGTATGGACATGTGCGGTCTTTGACATTTTCTTAAATCACCCCTTTAGGAAAGTCACAATGTTTTTTATTTAACCTACAGAATAATTATCTTACGTAGAGGTATCAATGTATCAGTACTATTGTACGGAGTAAAGTTTACACTATACATCTACGACAGGGTTAATGAAATGGCACTTTGCAGGTAGTAATCATGTTTCTGAATTTCAACCCCCCTTCCCTGCCAATCCAGCTGCTAGCTGCTGAATGAGATTCTTTCCAAAACTTTACAATTATGAATGATGCAATATGACTTTGAATTTGGAAGGCATAGTGCCACTTGCACGAAACTACCCTACTGTAATAAGGAACAAAAATGGTCAAATTTACATGTATATATTTGGCCCATGTTTACATTCCCTTCAAGAATAACACGGAGTGTAATTCATGTATCAGTTTTTATGCACTTTCTAGAAGAGTAAACTACATGTTTTTCACCACAGACTTCGAATATCTGAAATGTTGAATTGTGATGAAAAAATTAAAATACTGCACAAATTGAGCAGGATTTCTGGAAAACTGAATCAATGAAAGTTCAACATTGCACAAACTGAGTAGGTGCGTAATATTAGTACCATATTTTCGTACAATACATGTACATGCACTGCACACGCACCCTTTTCGAACCTTCCTTGCGCCTTTGTATGAGAAATCTTTCAGATTCTTAAACCTGATGCGTACACATATTTCACAATAAAAAATGAGACTTGTGTGATTTGCTCTCTGCATTTCTTCCTTCCTTTTTTTCCAAATTAACAATTATGTGTTTCAACTTCTTTTTGTTCAGCTTTTTGTTCCAGTTGTTTATACATGCACATGTATCTACGCCACACTGTACAGTTGGCAGGTATTTCCTTGCAATCAAGTCTGGTTTGTTGTGGTGTTTTGACAGTCCATTTGGAAATTGAATTAAGTTCTAAGATTTTTTTTCCCTTTCTTTGAATCACCAGTCTTTCATCTGACTTTGAATTCACTTCTGTCTTGCAAGTACATGTACATGTAACAAGTCATGCATGTGTACCATAATCAACTTATGTACAATGTAAGTTGGTGCATTACTTTTTTGTTTTTGGCTTTTTGTACTGGCCATTGTTGTTGGAAACAATCGTTACATGCTGGCCCATTTCTTCCCTGGAACATTTTCATATCCTGACATATATTCTCAGTTCTGTTATCTTTCTCATTTTCTCATCACAATCGCTCTGCGGCAGTTAGTCGATTCTCCGAGTGGAAAGAGTTCTATATTCGGACATCACTTGATATCCTGTGCATGAACCCCATGGTCTGAAAAGTTCTGGGTGATTTCTAAGTGAATATTTCAACATTTCCCCAGCAAAATTTGGGGGCACGTTATCACTTGTTGATGGCTAGTAAACCACTGCACGTGAAAATTAGTGATGTCCGTATCCGTACATGTAATTCTTAACCTCCACGTAATCTCCAACTTTACTTCCTTTGGAAAGAATTCTACTTGATATACATACATGTACATGTACCCCACCTACTTTTTCCTGCAGTAACTTAAATAAAACAATCTTCCACAACTGTGAATTAGAAAAACTGGTGATTGGCTGATGGTGGAAGTGGCTAAAATCATGCAGTAAAATAGAGAGACCATGCACATTGAAAAACCTGACAAGTCCGGGCCAAGGCCTAGAACAACACACTGTCTAGCAATATTTAGTCCAAGTAAGTTGGACCTTACAAATTGGCTTTTTTAACATTTGGACATGGTCAGGCGATAGTAGGGTCCAAGTACCTTCCAGAGGCTTTTGCTTCCATTAATTCATTCTCTCAAAATATCGATAGCTCGTACCGAGTCAAAATCCTCTGAATTCACCTCCAAAATGATCTTTAAACTGTCTTAAATGCACTCGGCTTAGGGTCAAGTGAAAATTGGAGATTCCAATAATGATGATAGGGTTTACTCACTTTAGGGGAGAAAAGATAAATTTCCTCATCAAATCGGAAACGGTCTCGTCGTCGAGTGTGATGATGCCATCTTGTTCAAATGGCGATTTGAACTGTATGTTAATGTCCTGGAGACAATGTCACGGTGCACTGGCCTCTAGCGGACCATTCACAAAAAGCATGCCAAGTCGGCATATGCACGCCAATGACTGATTCCTGAGCGCCGTATGTCAAGTAGCTGTGATCACACACAAACTGTACACTGGACATTGTGGCGCTCAGGAATCAGTCGTCAGCGGACTAATGCCATAAACGCCTATGGAAGGTACATGTACTTGGACCCCACTATTGCCCAAACATGTCTAAGTGTTAAAAAAGGTGATTTATAGGGTCCAAGTTACTTGGACTTAGCAATATCTAGCTTTTCTAGCAGGCCTTACAATGTCTTAATACGTGTTATACTAGTCTGAGCATGGTCTGAGTAACTTGACTCTATGAATCCCCTTTTTAAACATTTGAATAGGCCTATGTTTAAAAAGGCGATTTGTAGAGTCCAAGTATGGTTCAAGTAACTTGGACTAGTGTTATACTAGGCCCACTAGAGTGTACATGTACATGTACAGTGCAGCAATATTTGGGCCACACTAGTCTCTGGTGCCAGAGTGCCTGGGGCTGGGCTGCATTTTATGTCACACGCATGATATTCAGCGCGCGCAATCTAGACTCTCAATTTGATTGTACTCCCCCTTCCTGAGTTGATTATCCTTTGAATGGATTTTAGTCAAAGGCAAATCAATTCAGGATGGAATACAATGATTTTGTGCAAGTTTCAAGATTGCGCTGAACACTCAGACAGCTGATTACTGCAATTGGAGTGCAATGACGTCTGATCACCAATGTTGTGCCTACACAAATTTAAAGAAAAAAGCAAATATCGTAAAATATACTCACAAGCAAATGTTGACACGCCTCCAAACACTGAAACAGGATAAATTCTACGAATGTGCTAGACACCAGTGACGCAAGCCAGCGATCTGACAAAATTCAAGAGGCTTTTGGACGGACAAAATTTAGCACTTCACAGCCACACAAATGACAGCCTAGCGTATGTGTTCGTTGTATTATGTGTACTGTGTGCACACGGGGCAAATTATAATAGTACAGACTGATACCTGCCCAGTGCGGTTTTGTTCATTGTTTAAAGACAGGCAGTGGATACAAGGTACCAGCACCATCGACAAGAGAGGTTTTTGATCTTATTAAACGTGTAGATTGAACATACAATCGTGGGGTTTAGCCATGCGACACGAGCCACACGTTTAATCGTATTAATCAAAGTGTATTTTAAGAGGCGTGTTCACAGTATTTCAGGCAAAAATGTTCAGCGCACATAGAAAAAAAACCCCAGGATTTCTTTTTCAAATCTCTCACTGCAAAATGGTCCATGCCTGTGGAGCTCTCCTTTCTTTTCCCTTTCCTTTTTTCTTTTCATTTGCACAAACATGCACATTGTTGAAAAAAGGTTTTAATTGCTTCACTATTTTTAAAGTTCCAGCTGAACACAGACACGTAGGTCCCCCCCCCAAAAAAAATCATAGGAGGAAAACTGCAATATTACCTCCAAGCTCTTCAATTCCCCTAATTCCCTACGATACAGACTCACACAACAGGCAGGAGCTTGTAATGCAATGTACATGGAATCATTTATTCATTGACTAAGGCAAACAAATACGATCACAAGGCTTCATGATATCTGTTGAAGTTATTTTACGATTTAAAATGCAGCCAAGTTCAAAAGACATGAATATATCATTACACAGGGGAAGGAAAGGGTTATTATGAATTCTGTTGGTGTTAATGGAAATATATAATTCAGTAGCCGCTTCATTCAAACAACAATCAAAATAAAAATTGGTTTCTTTGGGTAATTTACTAAAAATTACATTTAAAGTGTTGTTTTGGGTGTAAAGCTTACTTGTTTGAGAAAAGTTGCTTTGAGATATAAGTAAGCCCCTTTGATTTTCAAAAATACTTTCCAGCTATTTTCTTCTGGATGGTTTGAATACAATACAATCCTTTAATGTCCCTTGTGTCTACAGAAAAATATGTCGCTACAAGAAACTGGCTATGGTTTTTGACGAGTAAACTTAACTAAAAATGCGAAGCAAATAATAAGCCAGATGATGTATGCCATTTCTGCATTGATTCCCAAAATACGTGCAAGTCAAATATGAAAGTATGAAAGGGTAATTAGTATTAATAATCTACAAAAACAATCCAGATGTAATTGTAAGTTTTACCACAGAATCAAATTAAATGAAACTGCAAAAAAAATGGGGCAAAGGAATGCATTACAAACCCCATTATTGACAAACTGTGTGCGACAAAGGAAAACAGACCAATCAAATCAATCAATCAATCAATAAGTGAATCAAAAAAAAAATGTTTAAAAATGAATGTAAACAGTCCCTTATTGCAATATCTACCATTTCTGTCCTTGGGCAGGTCAAGATATTGTGGTTTCTGCAGCAGCACCACAGCTGCAACCGTGAGTCAATACTGAAACCTGGACACAAAATGGCTTCCTTGATCCAACAATCACCGTATGCACTTATCTCACTCCTACTTTTTCATCGAGGAGCCATTTTGTACCCAATACGACTCTGTCTACATTCATCTGTCAACAGTTCTGTCTTCTTCCAAACCATTATACTGCCCTCTAGAGGTGCAGCATGACAAGTTAAGATGACCAATATCATCAATTTTTGTCTGTCTCTTTTTACCCTGTTTTTTTTTCTTTCTTTCTTTTTGCCTTCTCCAATTTCCATCTCTTTACAAATGAAATGGCTTTGCAATTTTTCTAATGAGCGGCACACAATGGGCCCTCAAAGTATCAATAAAACTTAACTGGACAAAGTTTAATTTCTCATAATACAATCAAATTTCCAGATAGCTATAACAGGAAAAGAAAATAAAAAATGACCGAGCTCCTTTACTTAGCCACTCCTTTCCTCTCTGGATGCTTTGCGAAATACTCGTCACTCTTGTCTGCCTTGATTGCCTATTAGAAAGATTTGTACAAAGAAATTAGGTCGAAGATGTGTTCAACATGAGCACAAAGAAATTAGACATCTAGGCCAACAAACAGAGCCCCTGTCTTTAGCCCCACCTCCCCAACCTCCATCTGTCCCTGTCAAGGCTATCCTGTCGGTGGGTTGAGTTTTCCAATCCCTACCCCATTGTGTAGATGGACTAGTGTTCCATACTTTTCTGCTGACTTCAAAAACTGAAAATTCCTTCCTTGGTTACTCTCAGCTAAATCACAACAAATGCCAAACCACGGAGCAGGCTACTTGGAGTAAACATGAATTAAATTAATAAAAAGCCAATAAAGTCATCAAAATTATCTTACTTCATCCAGCAGTTGGTCGGCTTTGGGGTCGACTTGTGAAAGTTCCCGGAAAGCTTCATCCCCAACAAAACAGATCTCTAGGCCATCCTGAAATTGATATTACATGTAGTAAGAGTAACCTTTTGTATTAAGAGGCACCGCTTAATTTGGACAATTTTTCAAACATTAACCACTGCCTATAAAGCTACAAATTGCAAACATTTCAGAAATTAAGAACATCTGAAGACCCACTTTTGGGTTAATTTGTAAAAGAAAATAAAATAATTTTCAAAAGTGGTTAAAAAAAAGGAGAAGTTTTTGTTACAGTTTTTAAAATAGAGTTTGGAGGGTAAACACTTAATTTGATTGGCATCAAAACAAACTGTTTCAAAACTGAGATGGCACCTTATCGTTGGTCTCGGTCACCTATTTGAAGAAACTGTGCAGAAGACAAATTAAACTTTGACTGTAACACTCATGATTTGTAAGAATACATAATCTTTAATGATGATAAAACGAATTCAGGTATTTAGAAACAGAGTCTCCTTGACCCCAAAAAGGTGAAAAGCCAAGCAATTAACTTACCGGGTCAGCAAGAATGACAACTTCAACAGTGGCTTTTCCCGGTGTGTCCAAACTGATCAACGGTGTGACAATGGTCTGACCAGCCTCCTTCATAGAACTCTCAATACCTGGCAGCTGTTTTATCAAATCACTAACAACGGTCAAGATGCAAATTATTCAAAAGATGGAAACAACTTCCACAGAGCCTGCTTTTAATTAAGCTACATGACAAACTGACATGGTGTCAGGATTTATTGTCTTCAGACATGACTTGTTTTACTCAAGTAACTTTGTATATTAACAGGCACTGAAGCAATTGTATGTGGCATTGTAATGAGGATGTCAAAAACCATTTCGTGTATTAAGCGAACTCCCCTCAGACATTGTCTTGAATCTTCTAAAATCTGACATTATGCATAACCTGATGGCAATTTCTTTGAAATCCCATCAATTTTAGGACCTCAAACTCAGTTGTCTGGCCTGTGTTGTCCTGAATCTGTCAATGTCCAACAAGACTACGGTTTGACATTAGCACATGGGGTATTGACTATCTGGGGTTGTAAAATGCCAAGAAGTTACCTGGTCTCGGGGGCAGGAGAACGCGATGCGTCCATACGCAGTGCCTCGATCGATCTCACCTCCCATGTCCCTGAGTTCCAGTTTACACTGACTGTCACCGAAACCCAGTAATGCTGTATTTGTTGTCTGTTCATAGAGTGTCATGCCACAAAGCTTGGTCCAATAATCTGTGGTTATATTCACAGCAAGTGGCAGAAAATAAAACATTAAAAAAGTGCTTGATATGATATGTCTCAAATACGGCCGTTTCACAATAGTGCGCCACCAAAAGTTTGCAACGCGTTGGCCAATCACAGTGCGCGAAATTTGTCGACCCAATGCGCGTTTGGAAAGGGTCGACAAATTTCGCGCGTTATGATTGGCCAACGTGTTGCAAACTCTTAGTGGCGCACTTTTGTGAATCGCCCGTATTCTCAACAAATCAGAGAAAACTTTATAAGAATGGTGACCGGGGGTAACAAAGAGGTCACAAACTGGCTTGAAATCTTCATCTACTGCTGCTA